TATTATGCATAATCTAATTCGTAACAGATGAGCCACATCAGGCAGGAGGCGATAAGTTGAGTGTACAGTGTACACCAGCCAAGCACCCGCCCAAGCAGCCACTCAGCCAGCGAAGCCGGGCAACAACCCCACAGCAATTGCAGCAGAAAGGCGGCCACCAAGTACACACATACACACACACAAACGCACGCAAATAAAGGCAATTGGCAATCTATCATAAGCGAGTCGTTTAACATATCCCGTTACACAGCCCATATCCGCGCGCACACTTTACTCACAATATGCAAGAAATTACGAAGAGGAAATGTTAAAGAACAATTCATTGCTGCCTTCAAGTGTACATACGCGTACAACAACAAACGATAAAATGTTGACAAATCTAATAAAATTTTCAACACCCAACAACAGCAACGAGCAGTTAGCTGACTATGTTTGCAAGTGTATGTAGATAAATGAGTGTTGTCGGTTGAAATCTGTGCACTCCACAGCACAAAGCAAAAAAAAAAAAGAAGAAATTGCGCAAATCTGTCTTTCAAAGGCAGTTACATAAATCCCACTTTCCCTTTATATTTATGTGCATTTTATTTGTGCAAGTGTGTGTGTGCGCGCATTTCTACGGATGTACGACAGGATCAACTGCCTCGACGTTTGAAAGGTACAAACACTTTACTACCCTGTCTGTATTTGCAAAGTATTCCCCAAAGGGACTTTAGTGCAGCCAAATCATTCCATGTCATTTCGTTTTATGGCACGAACGCATGGCAGGAATAGCGAAGCAGACGGGCAAGGTTGGTTGGCATGCGCAAGCTTGGTGCTGGAGCAAAGCTAAAGGTGGAAGTGGTTTTAAACAGACGGGTGGCACGGCACATGTAAAGAGTGAAATGAATGAAAAAAAGTTTAAATTTAAAAAGTAATACAAAAAATGTAAAAGATAGTTTTAAAAGACGGACTTAAAATTAATTTAAAATATTTACACAATTTTTATTTATATATTTGGTTGTTGCTGTCATTAAATTCCTACATTGTTTAATCAGGGCCGGATCGTGAGCTCGATTTTGGGAGGGGAAATAAGAGTCAAAAATTTTGTACGCCCAAGTATGATAGACATTTTATTTTATTATTTTTTATTATACATATATTGTATATAAATGAATTATATTTTTGCAAATCATATGTTTTGAGTCATATGTTTTTGAGAAAAATACACCGTAGTAATTTTAAAATTTCAAAATTACATTTCTCGACTGAAAAATAAAATATTCGAGCTAACTCGACGGCACATAGTGAGCTTTTTTAACACTTCATGCCAATTAATCGTAGCGCTTTCGACAGAAGAAATATTTTGATATGAAGCAAAATGGCTTTGAAAGCTAATTTAATTGCCATTCAAGGAAAAATGGTTGTTCACATTAGTCATGGCCAAAACATATGCCATGGGAAACTAAACCTAAACTTTCTAAAGAAATTAAAAAGCAACTTACGAATGCCTATTAAATTGATATTTGTAATATAGATCCAGATGTCGACTAAAAAAGCATTCATCCCTTCCGAGCTTACTCTAGTTTAAATAAAAGCTAAACTCGCTTAAAGAAAACGAGTTCGGGGTGGAGTGAGAATAAAATAACAAATTTCTTAAGCTCCAGAGGAAATTTTGCAGAAGAGAAAATCAATATCAAAGATGGATGAAGAAGAAATTCTTAATAAATGGGGACTGCCAGCCTGAGATTAAGCACTGGAGACCAATTGTCTGACAAGGGAATACAAGGACGTTCTTTATTTAATGAACGTCAGATTGTTGTTGTTCTTGTTTCAGCAACTTATTAATCCCTGCGTAGATCAATGACTTCATTGTGTATTGTCAATACTTTTTTGTATTAGACCCAGCAATCGAGCTCGTTAGACAGGGACAGGAGTGAGGGATGCTAAATGAGTTCGTTTAATAGGGCTTGCGAAGAGATGGTAGGTATCACGTGAAACATCTTGTATAAATATTGGACATAAGTTCGCACTGTGATGATTAAATACTCAAATGAAGCTGTGACTGCGCAAAAAGAAAGAAGCTACTATCTTCTGCAGTAAAGCTTATGCCTATCCAATTTTTTTCCACTTCCACTCAATTCAGTGAAGTTTATTGGTTAATTATTCAAATTTCGTCTGAACTAAAAATTTCCCCCGAGAATTTTCTCAAATTTCAGAGTTTCGTTTGGATTTTTTTTTTTTAAACAAAATCGTTAAATCAAAGCACACAATGTTTTTTTCGCACTTCGAAGTAATGAATTCAAAAGCAATAAAGAATAAGTTTGCTTACTTCGCCAGTCCAGTTCAACACTTAATTCTTTTTACATAATAGCCTCATTGAAGTGTCCTTTGAGACCAAGCAGACAACTACAGTCTCAAGGCACTACACTTTAAAAACCGATTAATTTTCAAGCACCAAGTGGATAAGTGCCAAAATGTATACAATGGCTGGCTGACGACCTGTCTCCCAGTTACATGCGAAAGCCTGATTGTATGCACATACATACATACATAAGTAAAAAAAATTTATGTATAACTGTGCGCCTGCCACTTGCAAGTGAATGTCGCGCGCGTGTCAGCATTTTGCATGGTACGGCTTTGATAAGACACAGCCGCCGGTAACGCCGCCACCGCCATCGCCGGCATTGGCGTGTGTCTGCAATAGAAATGCAAACGAACCCAAACACCAGCTGCAAACACCAGCAAGGACAACAGCAATATGCGAGTGTACGTATGTTTGTTAACGCTTAACGTGCCTTGGCGTCTGACGACAAAAACCACTGCGCCAGTGTGAGTGGAGCGGCGGCTTTTATACGACGCCTACGATTGTCTGCCGTGGTTATAACCATGTATATATATATATAAGTATACTTATCACATACACACACACACACATGCGCTTTTAGTTCAGCTCAGTGACATTCACATGCTGTTTTGCGTGCATGCAACTTGCCACACGCGCGCTCGCTCGGTCACGTGTCATTCGTTGGGCCTCAAATTCGTTGGGCATTCAATTCGCATTGGTGCGAGATTAGCTGTGCAAATATTATTTATTGCATTTGTTAAGTTGATTCATTATCTTGTTAAGCAATTTTGGGCACAAACAACTACAACAACAACAAAACAAGCACCGAACGCATGCATTGCTGTTGTTGTGCAAGTAGCAACTTAAATTGGTATATTGTTGCGCGTTTGACAAAATAGGAAGCGAAAGGAGATACGCCAATAGTTAATGCTCTACTTGATGGCGGAAGTGCTGCGCTCAAGGGTTAAAGTTCACAGACTTGTCAAAAGTGAAAGCTTCTGTTGCAAGTGTGACGGGTTTGGCAAGGCGTGAGAGAAACTAGATGTACATATTAGATGTACATATGTATACATACATACATACAAAAGTAAGTACACGAGCTAAGCCAATAGATTTGTGGGAAAGAATTTTTCGATTTAAATAAGTAATTACTTTATATGTATGTAGTAAGAGAGGTAGTTATAACCATAAAACAAGGAGTATAATTTTAAGTGAATGCAAAAAAAAATTTATGGAAATTAAAACTTACAGAACTTTGTATATATCGTCGCTGCCATGTCAAACTATCGAATGTGCAAAAATGCTTTTTCATTTGCGATACATAAGTTGGCAAATCGTCGAATTACTAGTCTTCTTAGAAACAGAGGATACTGACTTTAACCAAGTGTGGAATCCCACACTTTTTCCTAAAATGACAACAACATTTGAAAGTAAAAATTCAAAAAACCACTTGAATTTCTTAGAATTAAAATTTTCTTAAAAATTCAACACACTTTCTAGAGTAATTCTTTTAATTAATTTAATAAAAATGCAGCAGTAAGAATACAAAAAAAAATAAAATAAAATAAAAAATAAACGAAAAACACTGAAAAAGTTTCGCAATTGTAAATACTGGTTAGAGGAAAAGATAAGACATATGTACGTATTCTAAAAAATTATCTTAAAGGAAAAAAATGTAATATCCCTTCAGATTGAAAAACTTAAACCATTTTAGCGCGATAAAAAGACTTAAGTTAAATTAGGAAAAAAGTAAAAAAAACTGTATCCAAGTTATTTTTAACCGACTTCCAAAAAAGGAGGATGTTATCAGCTCGTCGGAATATTTTTTGTTTTGTTTTTTTTTATGTATGTTACCGCATAACTTTGGACCACGTCAACCGATGCATCGGAAAGGTAGTGCCTCAGAGGTGGTCCCATACTAATCTGGTTAAGATCCGATCAGTGGATCATGAGATATATATATATTTTATATGAGAGTTGAAGTCGGTTTTTTTGCTAAAAATTACTTGTTCTTTCTTTAAAACCTGTTTAAAAAATAACTAGAAAAAATTCAAAAACACCGAAGAACATAAGAAACTTAAAAAAATTGCACATTTGTGGAAAAAATCATTTAATTTAAGAAAAATCCTTACCGAATAAAGCACAAAAAACTAAAAAAAAAGTTAATAACAAATACGTTTTAAGGGCGTTTGGAATCAAAATATTTAATAAGCTTCCGTGAAGAAATTCACCCGCTTTTGAGTTCACTAAAAACTATAATACGTATATACGTAGCGATTAATTCGTATCTACTTGTACTAAGAGTTTTAAAATTTTCGCATTTTCTCCACTTATATCTTGATTAACCCACTTTTAACTTTCAACTGCAAACTAAAAACAAACAATGCAACAAATACATAGCATCGTTTCAGGTTCCCAAAACATTTCGAATTAAAAATACATTTTTCATGCCATCAATATGTTTCCAATTAGAAATAAATACTTTCAATCACAGGAGTGTGTGTTTTCTATGTACATACTTTCTTTTTTTACATGCGTATATATATATATATATATATATATATATATATATATGTTTGCATTTTCCATGCAATCTTAGTACATACCTACAGCTATTGATTCAACTAAATAATTTCCTAATCATCAACAAAATTCTACTTTTTTACATTTATTTCAGATTCATTAATGGGTTCCGCGAGCGAAGACGAAGACGACGATGATCCGCCACATTTGCGCGGGCCACCGCTCGGCTTGGGCGTATTAGGACCAAATGGCCCAGACTCTGCGGGTGGACCGTTGGGAGCATCCGATATCTCAGTACAAAGTATGAGCACGGATAGTAAAAACACGCATGACGATTCCGATCAGGTAATAATCATTAATTAGTAAAGCAGATGGGAGGCACAGAAAAGGAAAAACAAAAAAATTCATAAAAATGAAAGTGAAATAAGCAAATGTTGCAAGCGTGTTGCGGCTGTACACATGTATGTACATATGTACTCGAGCGTAGCAGCAACAGCAGCCGGTGTTAACGGCGCAGAAATTTTTTACGCATAACTCATTGTGAACTTCGATACGTTTTTTTTTTATTTTTTACTTTGGTTGCTTCATTTTTTATATATTTAATGTTGCCGACAAAGATGTGTACATACTTGGCTTTTTGACTTTTTAACGCCGCCAAAATCGTCGGAACGGTTGAATGATGATTATCCGCACTGCGTTGCGCAAAGCTGCTGATGACGTCGCACGCTTTTTGTCGATCGTCGACCGTTCACTGCTGAACCTCGCAGCTCGACACTCACTCACCACCACTCAATTCGAATGTTGGCTAATGTTGCCGCCGATGATTAATGATTTGCGAATGGTTATTTAACAAATTTATCGATATGCTATTGATTGCATTGTGCAGCGTTCACATCCGAATTGCTTAATTCCATTGGCTTGCAATGCGCTTTGATACAGAAAAAAAAAAAAACATACGAAGCACTGCACTTGTTGCCTGTCTTTTCCATGCGCTACTCCCACATTACACTACATTAAATTTCGTTTTATTTTATTTTGTGCTTTTTTCCTTTTTGCAGGGTTCCTTAGATGGCGATCCTGATGGCCGTGGTGATTCACAAGCGGAGAATAAGAGTCCTGACGATGCGAACGGTTCGAAGCGACGCGGCCCGCGAACGACGATAAAAGCCAAACAATTGGAAGTACTGAAAACGGCATTTAATCAAACACCGAAACCGACACGGCACATTAGGGAACAATTGGCCAAGGAGACGGGGCTGCCAATGCGTGTGATACAGGTGAGTGTTCGCAAAGGAAGTTGATCGAGTATTATGGGGAGAAATATGTTGATATGCAAGTGTGTTAAAAGTGCATTCCGATTGCATTTGTGAGTATTTAAAGCGTGCAAACTGTCATCGTGAAGATGAATGAGTATTTTGCATGTAGGCGGTGAATGGACGATACGGTTGTGGATGAGTGAACATTTTAAAGGAAGATATCAAAAGTGAAACATTCATGACATACATATGTATGTATGTATCTACATATGTTAACTCTGAAAAATAATAAGTATAACAAAATTAAAAAAAAAAAATGTTGCGCGCACTTAATATAAGCAATTATTCCATACCTAGCACTGCATATACCCAATATTTATTTCTGAGCTTGTGGAAAAGACTATTCTCAAAGCTGCTGTGGTTGAGTAGCTACAGTGCCTCAAAGGTTGCCATGGTTGGAATCAATAGGGCCTAAGGACACTCTCGCATTCTACGTTATACTAAAAACTGTGGAGCGATTTTGTGCTTGGAAAAACGGATTGGTGTTTTCCAACAAGGCGCGGTGCTTTCTCTGCCCATTTCCATCCTGTTGATGAGTTTGAAAGGTGTAGCACAAAGATCAGGTGAATCAAGAATTCGTAGTCGGATGGTATAGTTTAAGTAGGTGTGTTGTTTCAGGAGCTCCTTCAGTAGCAGCAGGTTTCATAGCTTGGTGAACTAGTAAGGCCGTCTTACCTGATAGGCTAAGCGAGCCGTGGGCAAAATACTGAAAATGCAGGGTCCTTCTGTAGAGTGGTACACTGAAGATGGCACAACGCCGAAACCGGTTTGTCGCCAAACCAAATTTGACAAGGGATGACGGAAAATCGTTCCACATTTCATCACACTCCTACCCTGTCGGAAACACCAACAGCGAAAATCAGACAACTACTTAATGGTCTTTACATCCAGGAGTGTAGATCCAAGCTTTGAGTTACCAAAGTGAAATGTGAAAATTTGACGCTTATCTACCTATGGTATTTTAAAGTATAAGTCTAAGTAAGTATGTAATCGACCGTATCACGTCTCATGTTATCTCAATGGATTTTCGAATATCGAAAAATTCACAAACATGGAAACTTCAAAATGCGATATCTCAGTGAAAAATAAAGATATTTAAGCAAACTCAACGGCATTTAAAAGAGGAAGACTTATACTTTAAAATACCACGTTTACTTTTTTATGAAGAGCAAAATCTGCGTAGCTACATAACCTCAAAAATGGGCAAAAACAGCGTTTTTGCACTTTTAGGTTAGGATATCTCAAAATCCTGACGTGATAGAGCAATTTAAACCCCGGATTCGGATTCTACGCAAAAAATTACTTCGAAAATGACCCTACACCTTCCTAGAACAAAACGTTGTTGACCTGTGTTATCGATGCGGGTTTCCAGATTAGCCTCAATCAATGATCGGAACTGCGTGCACATCCACAACCTTAGGTAATTGGATTATAGGTCATATAGCGAAACTCTGACCTTATGCCTGACCTTATAAGTAATAAATTCTGAAAAGAAAAGGAAATAGCTAATGAGGTGCAAAAGTAGCCTACTAAGAGCGTGTGAATTCACATCGGGGCAAAATGTTTTTAATATAATACTCCACAACTTACTTAATGTTATAAACCACGCTGGTTGGTTTTAACATATTACGGCTCTGTATCAGTAACAAATTCTTGTCACAGTGTTTTTTACGGATAAATATATGAAATAATTTAAATTTGTCAGTAAAAAAAAAATGTTGTCACCGATACAGAATTGGGCTTTTAGTCGTACGAGCTTGTCTAAGGAAAGGACCGCCACCTAACCCCACCATTTATGGCTGTGAAGTGAAGGCCTCGACGTATTTTCGTTATTTCTCGAAGTAATTAGCTGTAAAAAATTATCCCCAACGATAGAAGCTGTAATCAGACCACCGATTTCTGTAAAAGCCTCACGAACAAAGAGGAAAAGTAGGGCTACATACATACCTACTCGGGAGAGACCAACAAAGATTCTTGGGTTTATAGATTTTTTTGTTTCAATACTAAAAATGCTGGAGCGGTCATTAGCCCGATTTTCATATCTACAGAAAAGGCAATAATTTGAAATTTGCCAAGGATACCAAAAAAAAAAAAAAACCAAGCTAAGTTATGAAATATTTTGCAAAAGAAAAGTATGGCAAATATGCTGGTGTTAGAAGGTCTGAATGAGAAACCAAAGTCACGGGTATAGATAAATATTTTTGGCTAGGATAATGGAGAGGTCTCTATCTGCTTGAGGTCCAGGTGTGTGTTTTTAAAAAGTTCATAAGACCGGTGTTTGATTATGACATTCAAATTATGAATAAAAAGCGTATGACTTAAGTTCCTTAACATACTATATATGTACATATATCGCTTAAGATATGTTGCAATGAAGATTCACTAAGGCCTAAATCAAAAGTGCAAAACAGCCTTTCCCAACCTCACCGCCATTTTTTTTTTGTTAAACTCGGAAGTAGCGGAAATGTGGCAAAAAAAATCATTGCTTTTTTAAATGCGCCATTTTAAATTTTACGCGTATGAGAAAAAAAACAGTAAAAATGGAAATGCACTTAAAAATATATTGCAGCAATATTTCGCTTGCAATGTGACCGCAAAAAATCTGTGGCATCGACGCGCTTGTTGCCGGCCGACAGAGTGTGTGTGGTGCGCGTTTAACGTACATTTGTGGTTGGTTAACAGGCGCAATATTTCAGCGCATTTATTTTTTTAAACTTTCATATATATATAACTAGTATTTTTTTTTTTGTTTTTTGGACGCATTTACATACTTACATACATATTTTGGCTGCATTTTTATATTTTGATGTGTACCAGTATTTTTTATTTTTTTTTTGTTTTTTTTATGTTACTGTGGCTGTTTGGGTTGAGTTTTGTTTGGTTTGGCTTGGCTTGGTTTACCTTTTGCATTGCTTTGCGCTTTGGTTTGTTCAGATTTTACTCGTTGTGGCTGAACCGAATGTGGTTAGCTATAACTGACAAATGTGGCTGTCAGTTGCAGTTCAAAACAATTTTCTGCTTTAAAATATGAGCATTTTTGTGGTTTAGCGGTGTTTGTGTGGCTGTGTGTAACGAAAAATGGGGAAATTAATTTTTTTTTTGTTGCTGTTGGTTGTTAAAGGTTCAATTTTGTTGTTGTTTTTTCGTTATTGTTTCTGTTGGAAGTATTGCAGTTTGTTTTTGCGGTTCTGTGCAATATATTCATGGTTACTGTTGATTTTTTTGCTTAATTGTGACAGTGAGGAAAAGAACTGCTCCATTCGATGAGAAGATTTAAACCAAAGCAAAAAAAGGAGACACAACAGCTTAAATTGCAGTATACTCAAAATAATACCATTTCCTTAAACAAAAATTTTTGAAGGCCACGTTCGGGTAGACCACAAACTCTTCTGAATGCGAAGGGTTAGAAATTGAATTTCAACAAGATACACTTGACTTGGAGCACCTACTTTGCTCCAGCGTTAAAACTGAGCTCTCAGTAATGTTTTTAAGCTGCAGTTTTTATACTTTTTTCTAAAAAACAATCGATCCTTAGTGCCACTACTAACCACTCCACGATACATATTGAAATGCAAGTGTATAGGTACATAAATAACTTCCAGGACTTGTTTGTATGACAACAGTAGAATGGTTTACAAGAGTGTGTTTAAATATTTCGCTGTGTTTTGCATTTTTTACCCATAATTGTTGTTGTGATTGCTGCGACGCTGAACTCACTTGACCTTTGAAACTGTCAGTTAGTTACGCTGTAGCGTAAACTATCAGTTTGATTTGCTCAACATTCGTCATTGTAAGTCACACAGCTATGAGTTGCTCTTCAACGTTGCGGTGGCATTGCCTCGTCGATACAACCCATAGCTAAAGTTAGTTTCCTCAGCCGCTTGTAGTAAAACATCAATCAACAATAGCTGCACCGTTTACCTGCCACCATTCTCAAGCACAAAATGTCGATACAACGATTGCATATATGTATGTATGTAAGTACGTTTGTACCCTGCAGGAAAACCGCGGACTAGTGAATCAAATTTCTAGTTCCGTATTAGATCTTTATCGCCAAAAAACGAACCAGTCCGATAGTAACTAGATCGCCACCAGTCCAAAATCAGAGAAATGCAATACTTTTGAAAAACTATTTAGAACTAGTTCGAAACTATCGAAAAAGGGATGCATGCAAAAGAGATTTATCGCGAACCAGTACTGGGTCTAAGTGTACTAGAAGCGCACCAGTTGAGAACTAGAGATTTGCCCCCACAGGGTATGTATGTATGTTTGTAAGCTCATACAGAATCAGAGATTTAACAAATTCACCGATTTGCAATTGTCTCAAGCGTTACAACAATGAGTTAGCTGCTAGCCAACAAGGCAACACAACACATACATATGTACAAACTGAATCGAATTCGTCATGACTAACTACTGGCCATCTATAAAGCGCCAATTTGCATTCGTTTGCGCAGCAGCTAGCTTTAGCATTTTAGCAAGTACGTCTACTATACGCACACACTCACCAATGCCAATAGGTAATTAGTCACTGTGTCAGCCAAGTTCTTAGGTAGGTCTCCGCCGGGTGCTAGGATTTCAGTTGGACGCTTAGGTCAGCTAGTATTTTTTTTTTTTTTTTTTCTGCTTTTATGTTTTAGTATTCTTTTATGCAAAATTTTAGCGCAACAACTTGCGAATACGCTCGCTCAGCTCATCAGCATAAAAAGTTCATAAATAATAAGCAGCCGCGTCGCGCGCATATTTTGTAAATTAATTCAGCATCAAAAGCCAAGAAAATAATCCGGGAAGAAACAGTTAGTAATATATACTCAAAATAAGAAAGTTAAAAATTAAAGAGAAAAATAGATAATATTTTTTTCCATGAGAATTATACCGCAATAAATTATAGCATTCCCCAAGCCATTCGCACGACATGGCCAAGCCAGCGAAGCCGCTGTGTTTTAATTCGCTGCGCTGTC